GTAAAATAGTGATTTACTATTATACAACTGATATAGAACTGATTGACTTTTGATATACTATTGATTTACTTCTGATATACTAATGTTGTCAGATATACTCCTGATATATATGTGATATATATTTGATATATAATAACGAAGCGATAACTGAAAATGGTAATTTGGGAATACTGAAAATTTTAAAATCAGAATTTTCAAAAAAATGCTATATCTGAAAATATCAAAAATGCATATAGAAAACTTATATGCTACCCATTACAAATCCTCAAGATCTTACTAGTTACTAATCGATTTGTAGAGAACTATTTGTTGTAAGCTAGAAGTGACAAAATACTTTAACTCTAGGAACAATACTTTACTATACTTCACTATAAGCTATATTTGACTATAAGCTGCTGCTAAAAATTTAACAGATTTTTTTATTTTTGAAGAGAAAAAAAAAACTCTTTTCTCTATTACTTTCTTATATGATCAGGATGGAGAAGATATTTTTCTTCATTAAATTGAACTATATGTATCTTGCTTCATCTCTAAGTAGAATCTTTTACCAACCACCTTTATATTTGTTTTTACCAATCGAGAAGGGGAATAGGCATTTCATTTTTTTCATATATATATATACAGTTTGCAAATTTTAATAATAGTAGTTAGATTCCTGAAGAAAATTTGTAACAAAATTCCATGTACAAGTACAAGTACGTCCTATTACAAAATGCACAAAAGAAAAAGAAAAATACAAACGTAGATTACAGACCCAAAAATTGGTCATATCATATACATGTTAGCATAAAATGAAAACAAACAAATTAAAAGAATGAATTATCAATTATTAATTATTCAGTATTCACCGTCTCGTATACAGCGACGACATAGAATGCGAGAGATACTCCTTCAAACGTGTCATTTCCTGTGCCACGTCGACCATGGTGGGCCTCGCCGACGGCGTGAACTGCGTACACATCAGCCCCAGCTCCACCAGCTCCACTATCACTTCCCGCCACAGCCTCTTGCAGGGCCTCGGCCCTGCCCTCGCCGCCGCGGCGCTGCAGTATCTCTCCATCGCCTCCCCAACAATGGGGTCCAGGCTGTGCGGGTACTGAGTCTTCACCCATTCGTGCAGCCCCGCGCCCTGCTGGAAAAAGTGATCCGTTGGGCGCTTCCCCGTCACCAGCTCCAACACGAGCACCCCGAAACTGAACACGTCCCCCTCTGTCGACGCTCGTTTTCCCAATCCGTATTCTGCAAGCCCACTCAAAACAATTAGAATTTGGAATTTCTTCGCTATAATATAAGTATTTTGCTAATTAATGGAGGATTTGATAAACTTACCAGGAGCTATGTAACCGACGGACCCACATAACAGGCCGTGAGTTGAACTGAAGGAGCTGGAATCATCTGGAGGAGCAGTGGTGGCGGTACTGTGATCTTCTCCCCCGCCGCTCACCAGCCTCGCAATTCCAAAATCAGTGACCAGAGCGGTCATGTCATCATCGAGAAGAATATTGCTGGGTTTAAGATCACAATGCACCACTCTGACGGGCGAATTGTGGTGCAAATACGCCACTCCTTCCGCCACGTCGCTGCAAATGCTCACCAATTGAACCAAATCAATTTCAGCGGCCCCTCTCTGGCTCGGATAAAGATGGCTCTCCAAGCTCCCGTTCGACATTAATGGCAGAACCAGCGCCTTGAAATCTGGGCGGCTGCACGTGGTTATGATTTTGATCAGATTTCTGTGCCTTGTTCTCTTCAGAACTTGGCACTCTCTTTTGAAACTGCGGGAAATTTCCCCTGCTGTTCTGATTGGGTTCAGGACTTTGACGGCGATCTTTGTGTTGTCTGGTAAAATTCCCTTGTACACGTCTCCGAATCTCCCTGACCCGATCACGCTCGAGGGGCTGAATCCATTGGTTGCTTCCACGAGTTGTTTGTATGAGATTCTTGGGTGCTTCATTTCTTTCCTCTCGGCTTCTTGTTCTATTTCGTATTCCTCTTTTTCCAAATCCCTTCTGCTGAAAACTGCGAGGCGTTTTCTCATCTTTGACCTCAGAGCCGCCAGCGAGATCCCGATCATGCAGAACACAAATGCTGCTGATGAAGACATTAGAATTGACAGCATGTGCCGCCGTTTGTGCTTCTCTCTGCATTTTGGGAGGCCTCTGATTTGGCCACAGAGATCATTGTTTCCCAGGAATGAAGATATTGTCAGCCGGGAAAACACCCCCTTCTTTGAAATCTCCCCTGAAAATCTGTTGAAAGAGAAGTTGAGCTGTTTCAGAGTTGAGGATGTTTGAAGAGTGTCTGGGACGTTCCCAGTTAGCTGATTGAAAGAAACATCAAGAACTCGGAGATAAGGGAGCTGCCCAATTGAAATTGGCAAAGGCCCATCAAGGGAATTGTCTGAGAGATTGAGGGATTCAACAGCAATGCAGTTTCCAAGTTGAGATGGAATTGGGCCTGAGAGATTGTTGGAGGACAGGTCAATTGCCAGGACCATGTCCATTTTACTAAGCTCCAATGGCAAAGGCCCATGTAAATGGTTGCTCGAGAGGTTCAAATACAATTTCAAGCTCCTCAATCCTGCAACTTCACTGGGAATAGCCCCTGAAATTTGGTTGCTAGAAAGGTCCAAAATTTCTAAGTTGGTACATTTTCCCAGGCTGGGTGGGATGGTGCCCGAGAGACGGTTTCCGTAAAGAAGCAACTTTCTCAGCTGGGAAAGATTGGCCAAATCCTCCGGAATTGAACCGGAGAGCTTGTTTCTGGACAAATCAAGAAGACCCAGACGGGGGATTTCACCGAGAGAAGATGGGATTTCACCCGAGAGTGAATTGTTAGACAAATAGAACCTCTCCAGATTCCTCAATCTGGAAAGCTCAGAAGGAATTGTGCCATTCAGAAGGTTGCTAGACAAGTTCAAAAGGGTAAGATTTCTAAGGTTTGAAATGGAAGGAGGGATTGAGCCATAGATAAGATTGTCATCCAAATGAAGCTGCGAGAGATTGACATGAAGATCGCCAATAATTGAAGGAATCTCCCCACCAAGACGGTTCCCTGCCAACTCCAGCTCTTGAAGATTTGAAGAATTCACCAAAGAAGCAAAAAAGGGTTGAAGATTTGAGTTGCCATCGTGGGCAACAAATTCATTATCAGACAAATAAAGGTACTGCAACAACGGCATTTTCCCAACAATCTCAGCTGGCAACTCCCCACTCAGCTTATTCGACTCCAAATCCAGCCATTTCAATTTGGTCGAATTGGAAAGCGCCAACGGGACCTGCCCCACCAATTTGTTCGACCAGAGCAAAAGACACATCAATTCTGGCAAAGGGCATTCACTCCTCAAAGGGATTTTCCCCTCCAAAGAATTGTTCGATAAGTCTATGTATCTCAACATGAGATTAGAACCATTGCAAAAGAGCATCTGAGGAATTTCCCCCTCGAGTCTGTTGCTACCCAGATCGAGAAATTTGAGGCTCTGGAGGAATCCGAGCTCGGTGGGGATTTTGCCGGTGAGGCGGTTCCATGATAAGCTCAGCTGCTGGAGGTTGATGAGAGAGCCGAATTGCGATGGGATTGGGCCTTGGAAGGAGTTTCTGGACAGGTCGAGGATTGTCAAGGAGGAGAGATTGGAGAGGGATGGGGAAACGGTTCCCCTGAGGGACTTGTCGCTGAGATCGAGCTTTTGGACTCGTTGGGTGGAGTTGTTGCACTTGATTCCAGCCCAGTTACAGAAGTGGAGATTTGAAGAGGATTTCCAATCCTTGAGATAGTTGTGTGGATCAGAAACAATCCCTTCTCTGAACGAGAGCAATGCTGCCTTCTGAGAATCGCCATTAATGGAGGTTTCGTGATCACCAGAAGCTCTGTTGAATGAAAGAATTAGGAAGCAGTGAAAAAAGAATACTACACAGAAGTTGCAGAACTCCATTGTTGAGTATGGAGTTTTTTGTGGTGGGACGGAAGAGAGAGAAGTGGGGGGTGATGAAACAGGAGGGATGAACAGGGGGGCCTTTAAGAAGGGAAACAGAGTAATGGAAATGGCTAATAAAATAGTAGAGATAATATTTGACCCTAAGAGTCGAGTCCAAGACGACATTTTTTTTTTTTTTTTTTGTAACGAGTTGATTTTTCATTTTCTTTCAAACGGTATGCTATTGCAGACATGATAAGAATTTGAATAATAAAATAATGGATGAAATCACAAATTTGTTTAACTAAGATCATAAATACATTGGGGCAGTGGATGTAAGTTTAACTCGGATTGTTTTGGTAAATTTAATTCATATATACATATCAATGAATAAAAAATAAAAAAATTTAAATTCGAGTTTAATATTTATATTAAATTACATGTTGAGTCTTCTAATATTTAATAGGTATTTTGATTTTTGATTTTTATTTTGTATCTAATAAGATCTTTAAAAAAGAAAGTGTAATAAGTTCAAATGTCTATTAGACAATAAATAAATAAATAAAATAAAAGTTAAAGATTATTAGACACTTTTAATATTTAGGGATCTATTAAATTTACCATTTAAAATTCAATTATTTACTGGATATTTTGAAAGTTTAAAAAACCTATTAAACACAACGGGAAGAGTTTATAAAAATTTATTAACTAAACTTATAATTTACCTCTTTAAAATCATTCAACACGGCTATTATAATTGTGAATATTTAGTTTCTTTCCTTAAAATTTATTTAAATATATTTTTAATTGTCGATCTATTTAATTCCTATATTTAATGACTCTATAATTAGTTGTATTAGTTTTTTTTAATGAAAAAGGGACATCAAAATCCAGAAGAAATGAAACTACAACGATGGTACGAGACGGGGCAGGGAGACCCCTGAAAAGACCTCTAGGAGGCTCATCACACACATGAACTCCCAACGAGAGATTACAAGCTCTGTTGGCTAGCCAATCAACATGCTTCTCTAAAAACATGTTATTTCGAGACTATTAGTTTAACTCCTCTGTTATAGTTTGTATCTTCAGTAAGTTCTATTGGTCTGAAAATTTAAAGTTAAAATACATATTATAACGTAAAAATTAAATAGACACGAAATTAAGAGACGAGGAAGGAATAAAACTTATGAATAAAGCTGAATAAAAACTGATTGAAAAGTCAAACAATTAAACACGCAGATATGTAAGCTTAATAATTAAAAATATTCACTCAAATCTCAATTGACAATATTAGACTAGTCTATAGCGCCAATATTTCAGAGTGATACACAGTAAAAAAGGATTTAAAATTATTTAATATGAAAAACATCACTGCCTAACAGCCGAATGCCGATGAAGGGCGGAGGAGGTTTCGTTTGGCGCCTGTGATGTTTGACTTTTCAAATGGACCAATGGGCGGTGACCACGTGTGCAGAGCGCAAAACGCCGCGTAGGAGGGTTTTGGGGATGAATCAGGGTGGTGGAGGACACGTCAGCTCCCACGGAACAGGCCTAACCCTATTTTTTATTTTATTTTTTAAAAAAGGTGCACAAATTGAATAATAAATTGAAAAAAAAAGGGGGGGAAATGGTGGAAATGGGATGATATTATTAGTGGATTACGTGCTGTCAGGGGAATGGCAGATAATTTAATCTTGGTTTGTTTATTTTATTTTATTTTGAAAAATGGGCAGGCTTCAATTTGATTGGGACAGGGATCGTTGGTATATTTGTCGGCTGCTGATATCATGTGTAATCATCATGATTTTACCTACGTTTATTAATCTCTTTTTACTATTCAGTATTATGAGTTTATATTATAACTTAATTATTAACTTCCATATGTTGTTTTAACTCATGTTTCAACTTTAAACTGCTTATTATATTCCTTTTTAATAAGCTTCAAAATTTACTATTTTATAGTGCAAATAATAATAATTACTATTTTATGCATCCTTGTTTTTTTCCGTCACGATGCATCAAACTACTCAAATTTAATTTAAACTTGCCACTTTAATTTAATGATAGGAGTAGGAATTTTAGTTATCGGCATTTTTAACGAGAATACTCAGTTTTATTTAATCATTTATTTTATTTTATTTTATGTGTCTAATTCAATTATTTATTTGTGTTTTTTAATTTGAATTTGAGCTTTAAATGTTTTCAACCGTTTTTTTAAGTCTTACTAATTGATTAGGTGAGTAAGAGATTTGTTGTTTAATTGGAAAGGGTGGTAAATTCTTCTTGTCTATTTGTTGTAGTCTTGGAAAATAGCAAGTAAGAAGTGTTTGGTAGTGTTTGTTTGTTGTCTCAAATTTTTCAAACATTGTTTCCCGTATAATATTTTGAGAGATGTTTTTTTTATGTAATTCTATAAGTGCTGTGAGTTGTTTTTCGTTTGTGAGATTTCCAAGTCTTTGGAGAAAACGCATCTAAAGGAGTTCAAGAGGTGGTCTAAAACACAAGGAGAATTTGTGTTTAAAAAGAAGTCAATCGAATAAGGAGTGTTGATCAAATATTGCAGCATGACTTAAGAAGGGAGTTCTTTTATTCATAAGTCAATATTAATTGTAAATTGTATTAACTTTTGATTGTTAATCTTATTTTTTCGACGTAGCCTCGTGGAGTAGGTCGAGAAACTAAACTAGGTTAAAAAGGTTTTTGTGTTGTCTCTCTTTACTATATTGTCTTTCATTACCGTTACAATTACACACGCTTAATTATTTTAATTTTTAAGATCCAAAAGAATTGAGACTTTATTAATAAAATAATATTTTAGCATACTAAATAGATGTCTTAGATAGATTTTTGGTTCTTATTCCTTTAGATTTACTTTATTTTTTTTCATAAATTTTCAAAATTAATTATTTTAGTCCTTCTCATTATTCTTCTACTTAATATCTATTTACTCAACATAATAGTCCAGCTATCTCAAAAAAAAAAAAAGAAACATAATAGTCCAGCCAAACTGTGTAGCTCTAGTATATGCCTAAATCAACACTATACATATATCTAAAGTCGTGTAATTAATTTGACCAATTAATGACTTCATTGATCTAAATAGACATTTTAAAAGTTTGGAGACTAAAATAGAATCATCCTAAAAGTCTAGAAATGACAAATGGATTTCAAGCTTATAGTCATGTGTAAACACAAATGATAAAAGATCGAAGATTTGGTGTCTTTTTATAAATTAAGGGGCAGATTTGAATTTCCGCCCTCTATTTGTAAGTATAAAATAAAATGAACTATTAAAAAAATACCCTAAGATTGATTTGGGAGGTGGGTAATGGGTCGGATATTGTGCAACTGAGAACAATAAGAATTATTAGAAAACAAAAGTAAAAAAAACAAAAAACTCCATGTTATAAAAAGGAAAGCCACCAGAAATTATTTAAGGAAAGGGCTTATAAATATTTAACCATGTGGGAAATAGATGCAATAGAACCAAAAAAAAATTTCTCTCTCTCTCCAAGAATGAGTCTTTATTGTCGTCCCAATTAATTATTGACATTTAATTTAGAAATTGAAAATAATAATAATAATAATAATAATAATAATAATAATAATAATAGGGTAGTGGTCTAAAAGGAGCTCTTCATAAGGCTTTAGGTTCATACTCGGTTCATTAAATGTACTTTGATTTCTGAAACGCAATCATCCCTTTATTTGGGCCCCTGTCGAGAAAATTAAGATAAAAATAATGTGTGGTATGTGTTTTCTTCTTCAAAGTTCCATTATGTCAACTAGTTTTTTTGCAAGTTGATGTGTGTGCTCGTTTGGATAAAGTCAAAACTTTTTCTACTTTTACATCCTCTAACCTGACGTTCAACACTCAAAATTTGGTCCAATTTGTGATGTTCTGAACTTCTGGTGTCGTTAATTTAATACTCGTTATTTTTTTGTTTCTGTTTTGTCATTTTTAGTCCAGAAAAATTAATTGCATCAACCCAACATCCATTAATTCAAGTATGATAAAAACAACATTTTTATCTATGTTTTAGAACAAATTGAAAATGGAAACACCTTTAGTTTTCAGAGATTAATTATCCAACCAAATTATAATAAAGTTTTTTTCCCTTTTTTGTTTGAGTACATCAATTTGGAGATATGAGAGATCGAACCTCCGACTTCGAGAGAAGAAATACATGACAATCACTGTTGAACTATGATCATGTTGACAAATTATAATAAAGTTTGTAATCGATATGTTGTATGGTTGTATATACAGAAAATTTGAAGCAAGCACTGTTATTAATGGCAAGGACTAGAATTAAAGAAATGAAAGTATAGAAATATAATGTTGAAAAACAGTAAGCTGCTGTGACTAAAATAATAATTGAACCCAACTAATTTTCAAAAGATTGCAACCAAATTACCAGGATAAGAATCATTATTTAAAAAAGAAATTATAAGTCAACCAATTATTTTCAACACTTCTGATCAGATTGAATTTTTGGTGTAGATTCAATTTCTTACAAAAATTAAAATAAGCGTTGAGTTTTGGAATTCAAAGCCGCTAAATATATTGGTGTGAAAGAGAAGTGAGTTCAAATCTATTAATCTATCATATCATTTGTACCCTTTTTCTATAGGATAATTTGTACCTTTATTATATAATAAATGTGAACAGCAAAGAGAGCAGTATTTTGCAGCTTTGAAGGCAATTTTGTCTGGAAAATCCCAGACTTGCTAAAGCAATGAGAAACAAGATCAGGAAAGGCAGAGCATTTAACCAAAAAAAAAAAAACAGATCTTTCTCAAGTAAGATATTCAGGTCAAAGACGCTGCAATTTTTAAGTTTATGATGATATTGTCGTATGACACATTTTTTAAGAAATAAATTCGAAGTATTAAATATTATGAGCTAAACAATCACTCATTGTAATGTTCAGTTCTTATATTTTGTTATGTGAGTTGTGAACCAAAGCAGAAGTATATATTGCTAGTGCTAACTGCTAATTTTATTTCCAAATAAAAATCAGGGGAGAAAAATATACATATACACTTTTTTTAAGGTATATTTTAGCAAAATAATGACAATTATTGAGACATATAAACAATATAAACCTATTTGTTTCTCTGTTGCCCTTGAAGCATGCCTTCCAACAAATCCATGCTTCAGCTTATGATGGTTTATGATTCTAATATCTTTATCAATAGACATCTTGAAGGCAGCACTGTGGTCAGGGAATCATGGATTTTCTCAGAAACCAAACAGTCTTTGGTGTTCCCTACAGACAACAGACAAAAGGAAAAGGGATGTAAATAATCAGGGCAACAATAAGAACATTCTGTTCTTTTCAGTATTGTTATGTATTTTGCTCTTTCTTTCTTCTTTGATCCTATGTATCAAATGAAACGTGTCGGTTTTCATTTCAGCGGACATCTCAACTAAGCTGAACAGTTTACATCAACGTTCTACTAATTCATTACAGCCTATTCTAGTATTCTGGCGAAACCGCCCATCGGATAGTTGGTTAATAGTAAGGAATATTTGAGAAATAAGTAACCCAACTTCCTTGGATATACTGCTGGAAAACAGATAACATTTCATAGGATAAACATGGCATTAATGGGAATGACAAAAGTTACCTGTATACAATTGAACAGAAGTAGAGACAGGAATATCGCCTGTATCTGGGGGCTGATGGACTTGAGGGCAAACACCTGTTTCATTGTGTTTTGGCATTTTTGAACTTCAATATTTCATCTGCTTCATCCACAAGGACCACTTGATTGCCTCTAAGAATTGATCGTTTCTTTGTAGTGCTTTGATCATGTTAATGTAAGTTATCCTATCGGGTTCGATTCTCTTTTCTCTCATTTCCTTCACCAACAGAACGGCTTCTTCGACCATTCCCGCAATTCCATATGCCTTGATCAATGTGTTGTAGCTGTACAGATCAGGTTCAAGTCCACATTCTCTCAGTTCTGTTAGCACTTCCGCAACTTCATCAATCCATCCCTGTTCTCCGTAGATGTTGATCATGATGTTATACGTGTAGCGGTCACGTTCAGCACATGATTCCTTCATTCGCTGTAAGACACTCCTGAAGCTCTCCATTTGGCATTCTTTTCCATAAGCATCCAACATACAGTTGTATGCTTCAAGGGAAACTGAAAAGCCATTAAATTTCATTTTTTGAACTGTAGATGACATGTTTTTGAAGTCCTTATTCTTTCCATAAGCAGATATCATTGTATTATACGATATTACATCAACCAAGCCTCTTTTTTGAGCCAGCCCGAACAGATTTCTAGCCTTGGTGAAAAGCTTGGATTTCCCATAAACGTCAAGCATGACGTTCAAGGTCACAGTATTTGGAGCGAAACCACGATGGAGCATTTCATCAAAAAGCCTGGAAAGCTCATCAACAGGCAGAGCGCGGGAGCAGCAGTTTATGACACAATTATACATTTCCTGATCCCAAGACACTCCACTTTTCAGAATCCTATAGTACAGATCTGCTAGCTTATCCACCATGCCACATCGTTGATAAATACGAAGCATGTCCCGCAACAGATAAACGTCTGGAACAATGTCTTGCTGCTGGTCCATCAAGTCAAGAACCAAGCATGCATCTTCCAATGACCCAGCTTTAACATACATTCTCACAACAACATTGAAGGCAATCAAATCCAGTGGAATGTCTGATGATCTCAGGCTTAGATAAAGCTTCTCCCCCTCTGAGAATTTACCCATGATGCTGTAAATGTCAATCATTGTGCACGTAATGTGCAAGTTCGGTTTATTTTCACGTTTAGGCAGTTGAGTGTAAATCTTAATAGCATTCTCGAGCTGGCCCAACTCTTTACATGAGCAAATTAGCAAATGGTACAAATTCTCCTCAAAATTATGATCATTCCACTCTTTTTCCCTCAAAATTTTTAAAGCGTCATCCACTAAACAGTGCTTCATATAAGCCATTACCAGAATCGAGCAAGATGTCTGGCTGGACAGAACTTTACAATAGAACGACCCAGTCAACAGGAGAGGCACACTTTTTATTCTTCTAGCTTTTTCATATGCTTGCAAAACATTTCCAACAATGGAAGAAGGCCGGCATCCAATCTTTAGCATATCATCAAGAGTTTCAAGTGCACCTGCTTCATCCTCATGTTTGGCTTGCAAGTTTATCAGGGTGAACAAGTTAGAGGTGTTTGGCATATATCCTTTCCGCTTGAGCTCCTTATAGTACCATTCTGCCATTTCATAATTACCAGCTCGACCCCAACCTTCAATCATGGAGCGGTAAGTCGTTTCATCGGGTTCTGCTCCAGAGTTCTTGATGCCCAAGAATAGGCGTTCAGCAGCATCCATATTTGACACCTTTCCGTACCCAGTAATTAAGGTATTATATGCAATGATATTGGAGGAAAATCCGGCTTCTTCCATTGAGGCAAATACAAGTTCAGCATCCTCCAATTTTCCTTGCTGACAGTAAGTGTTAAGCATCACCAACCAATTCTCCAAATTGGGTGTTACTTTATCTTCTTGCATTAGTTGAATCACCTCTTCTGCTTTATCATACAAACTCAACCGCGCGTATATAGTAA